CCATAAAAGTTGGCTCCAGGTGACCCTCTAGCATTGCACAGGCTTTAAGTTTTCTGCCCTGTTTGACCGTGGTGGATTTGGCTCCTCCGAAGTGGGTTTTGCTGTGCAGTTTGGCACCGGGAGCTGGAAATCAGATGTGCGGTTTGCTTTGGTTAGAGGGGTACTTCACTGTTTTAAATAAAGATAATGAACGCAAATGTGTGGCATCTAGGCTTGGAAATCAATTACTTCACAGACAGCAGCAGAACAAGTTTAGCCCTGGTAAAAGCCAATATCCTGGTTTTATTAAAACTTGTATTTATTTTGCATCTGATCTCTGGAAAAGCACTATATTCATGGGGCCTTTGGCGTTGATCATCTAGTAGATAACAGTTTTTTCTCCTTGCGGCACACAAAGCCCTTAGGATGAGTACTGCAGCTTACAGTGTGGTATTTAAAAATTGCATGAGCAGATCTTGATATGGAGGATTATGTGTATATTTTCTGACAGTTCGTAACTGGTGCGTGAGAAGAGCATCGTATAGTGTAGATGCAGCTGTTGATAGAGAGCGTGGGCCTTGTAAACGTGGAGGAATGTAGTGCTTGACCCTCTTTCCAATGTAGATGTGGGGCTGTCACTCCCAATTCCTTTAATCTGTATAAAGCAAAAATCCATTTGCTTACTTGAAATCGGTTCTAGTTATGTGAAATTTGGATCACTTTTAAAATTTAGATTTTTCTCAAAAGCCTGTTTTCTTCCTGCGAGTTGAGGGAGGAGGAAGGAAGAGAGAGCGAGCCGTTTTCACACAAACATTTCAAGCCCTTGTAGATAAGAAGGGTTGTCAGGTATTCGGCTGACAACTTAAAGAAGTGTTGTTGTGTTACAGATCCTTTCCCAAATCACCTTAGAGAGAAGAAAAGCCTCTCCAGAGCTAATCATTTCTCCTTGCTCGTCCTTCTGTGGTAAAAGACAAGGGAGATACACAAAACAAAATGATGCAGGTGTGAAGCTTGTTGCAGCTGCTGGTCTCGCTAAACGCAGAGGGTGGGAGGCAGATTTCACCGTGAGCTGAGGCCACGTGACAAAACCAACCACGTTTCCGTGAAGGAAAACAAAATACAAGCCTATTTGCTCCTGAATGCCCTTGCTGGGGGTAGAGTCCAGGGCCAGAACAAACCAGTCCGTGGTTGTCACCGCAGAGTCTGCTCAGGAAGGAGCAGTTGGCCCTTTCCCCATCTGTTTGCGTAGTGCTAAGCGCATCCAGTGCTGCAGCTGAGACGGGAGATGCTGGCCACCACCCCAGGGAGCACGCAGACTGCAGAGGCGAAGGGCAGGAGGTGCTTCGGCAGGGCAAAGGCAAGGGCAGGAGCGGGGAAGCTCTTTTCCAGGGGCTGAGCTGGTGTAACCTCACATGGGCTTGATCAATGGCTTTTTTTTTTTTTTGAACATCTGAAACAAAAGTACAGTTCATAGCACATAGCCTAACAGGATGGTGAAAAGACATCAAGTTTATTCAAGTGTATGGTCATTCTGCAATAACTTTAATACCTAGAACAAGGGATTGCTTTACGCTGGCAGCAATTTCCTTTGGCACTAAAATTTTTGGCAGCCTGGGAAGCACCAATCCATACTTCACCATTTAGACCACAGCAACAGGAAGGTCATAAAGGTCACCTAAAAATATTGGTAAACAGCACCCAGAATAAAGGACAAGAGTCATCAAGAGGTGCCGTGAGTTAAATATTACACTTCACGGGTAGACTTTAAGCTGAGAGTGGTTATCACGTGATTGCAAGATGAGTCCTGTAGTTCTGGTGTCGGTGTTTCCTTCCACTCAAATGTTCATCTTTTCTTTCAGTCTTATTCTTTCTTTGACAATGCAGCATTGAGTTAGATATCTAAATGTTTTCCCCGTATCCATGTATTTGGCTCTGTTTAGTTTGCTTACTGGTTACTAATGGGGAATGGACCCCTGTGCTGCATGGGGGAGCCATGTGCTCTCCCTGGTGCTCCCAGGCAAGTCCTTGAAAGCCCCTCATTTGACATAGAGGCTTGAAAATTGTTGCACCTTCTTTGGAAAAAGAGGCAGAAACTTGTTTTCTAAAATCCAGCATTCTTTATGAGTAAAATGCCTGTCAAGAACTGCAGGGCTTTTACGGGTTGGTGATCATCCCATTCATATTTTATGTTCTCTTTTTAATTTTTCATGAGCTCCTCCGGGACCTTGTGGGGCACCATGTAAATAAAACAGCTATTTGAAGGATCAGGTTCCCTAACACGTTTCATCAGAGTGATGATTGCAGAGTCTGAGCGCGTGTTGTGAGCTTTAGAAAACTGAAGTCCTCAGTGAGATGGGCATCGCTGCTTCTCGGTGGGATGTTGCCTGGATTCACCTCTGCAGTCCAGCTACTCTTGCTGTCAGTCCTGCTTGACTCTAAGGAGGGGTCTCACTCTGTGTCCTCCTTCCCAGGTTGAATCAAGATTATTCAGCCTTCTGTTTCTGTACTGTTCTTCAATAGATGCTCGTTATTCAGGTGGAAATCTCCTGGGAGGGGAATTTACTATGTTGGCAGTAGCCATAAGCAGCTGCAAAAAAAGCTTTAGAATGTCACCTTATGCTTGTCTGATGTGATAAATACTAAATGACACTATTTTCCCTCTTTCTTCAGAATCCTTGACTTGGAAGTTGAACAAAACCAGACACAGGAATAAACTCTTCCCTCATCAGGCTCGTGACTACTTCATCCAAGTATTTTTCTGTTGCCTTCTACCTTCACCCTGTCCCCTGGCAGCCTCACTCTTGTCACAAGCACAGGGGTGTCCAAGAGCACAACGACAAAACGGAGACTGTGAACTGTGCCCCAGCGAGGCAGTGGGAAACAAAACTCCTGGAAAAGCCAAGCGTGGCAGTAGATGCCGTCCACGATAACGTTCAGCATCAGCTCACCACCCCAGGATGCTGCTCCGGGCTGTGACAGAAGGTCTGTGTTGTGCACTCATCTCTTTCCAGCAATGAATTTGTCGACAGGGATGGGGGGAGAAAGTGGGAATAAAGTGGCAATGACTGCCGGGTCAGGCGTTTCCTTGCAGGCAGACAGGCTCCTCCTGGGCGTTCAAAGGCTCTGTCTTACCAGAGCTGTTTGACCAGCGCTCGTCTGACATCATTAGATGTTATTTGCTTGGCTGGTGAGGACTAACTGTGGTAGCTTTATCTGGGATACTTGGCAAACGTGTTGTAAGCTGAATCCCTGCCAAGCCTCTCTTTCTCTGAGAGCGTTCAAGCCAAATTGGAATACCTTGTATCCATCTAGTTTGCTCTGTCACACAGCTTGCTCAGTCAGTGGGGAGGAATAGCCTTTAAAACCCTGCCCAAAATATTTTCAGGAGCATGGTTCCAAGAAACAGGTAGTCAAAAACAGGGGAGGGTTTTGCATCGTTACTGCCTTGCGGCAGAACGGTACAATTCACATGTCCACTTATTTGCAGTATGCCTCCGACTCTGACATTGCACACATTGCAGTGTTTGGCAGCTTGTGGTTTAACACCTTTAATTTTATGCACTGTGAGTGAGCAGTGAGCTTACAGAATCGTGTGAGGAAACTGTATCCCAGGCTAGGTAAGGCCACGCATCCCTAGTGTGGGTCTGGAATAGGACTGTGCTTGCGACGTGCAGGATGGCATCCCTGCAATGCAAGGCAAGGAGGCATGTTAAGGTACATCTATGCCAGGTGAATGTCCTGATGGGGTCAGACACCCAGTGTAGACAGCACCTTACTCAATATCGTCAGTAAAATGCTTCATTTGGACTGGCCAGGCTGAACGTATTTTAAAAACTGATAAAAAGTACTTTAGATGATCAGAATGGGACCTCTGCAATAACTCATGGAATTTGCTGGCTGTGCCTCAAACACTTAACCCAATCTGTCATTGGTTGCTGGAAAATGTCTTGCACCCAAGCATTTCTTTGTGGACATTGCAAACCAGTAAGAAATGCAAAAAAACCCCACCACCAATCAGAGCCAAAGCCAGTTCCCCTTTCAGCCACACCGGTGCCCGTGTGTGAGAGCTGCCCCACCGGGGTAACGCTGACCTGACCTGAGGGTCCTGCGGAGGTTAAAATTTACTTTGTGTTACTGTGGATGTGGTGTCTGGCTTACCTGGCCACCAGACCCGCGGCCTGAGGAGTCCAGAAACATCAGTGTTCATCCTCCACATTCCTCCTACCCGTGCTGTGGCAGCTCGCCCCGCTGCCTCGCCTGGCCCGAAACGGCTGCCGGGGCAGCCGGGTGGATGCCAAGCTCAAGTGAGCACTTGATTGCGTTTCTGAAATGTTCGCTGCTCTTGGTAAGCACGTCTGGAGGAGCGGAAGGGGTG